AGTCAGTTACAGACCAGCAAATCAAACTAGGGAACAGGATGAATTGCTCCTTCCTGTAAAGTTGTGGAAAGAAAAATTGTGTTGTTATGGGGAGAATTCAATTTGGAAGCCAGTAGTAACCCTCATTAGAGTTTCTAAAAATGATGGATGATCATTTTCTAACAAAAAAGGTATTGCACCAAACACATTTTGGACAGCACCATGAACAGCTGAAGATGAATTATCACTGAACTGAAAACTGGTGGTTGTCTAGGGACCAGTGATCATGCCCCAGTTACATTCCTTGTGGGCAAACCTAAGACAGTCCCAACCAGTTATGAGTGTATGTGTGTGTGTGTGTACACACACACTTTCTGCTTCAAAAGACCTAATTTCCCAAACCTGAGGAAGATTATGAGTGAAATTGATTGGGAGGAAAAATGAAGACAGAAAATTGTGAATGCAAATTGGGAGTTCTTTAAGGAGAATTTATTAGATGGCCAAAAACCCATGATTCAGAAATTGTGATAGAGAACTACTTTGCTTAAAAGCCCATTCCAGTTAAGAGGTCAAGTGAAAACAGGAATTAGAATAAAATATGTATATAAAACCAATGGAGAAAGGGGAAGTAGATAGAAATCAGTATAAATTAGAAGTTATGGCATATAGAAAAATGTTAAGGGAAGTTAAAGACATCAGGGAAAAATCCATGGCTGACAAGGCTTAGGAGAATAAGAAATGTTTTTTAAGTATATCAGGAACAAAAGAATTCCTAAGAACGGTATAGGCCCATTACTATGTGTAGATGGTAAAATTGTTAATAATTCTCCAGAAAAGGCAGAAATATTCAATAAATATTTTGGTTCTGCATTGGAAAGAAGCAGGATGATGCATTCATATCACATGAATATTATGTACTTTCCAGATCATTAGTAACTAAGGAGAATGTTAAACAACAGTTACTAGGGATTAACATTTTTAAATCAGTAGGCCCAGACAACATGCACCAAAATGTCCTGAAAGAGGTGGCTGAGGAGTTCTCTGGCCCACTGGTGTTAATTTTTAGTAAATCTTGGAATTCCAAGGAAATTCCAGAAGACTGGAAGAGTGCTGTTGTGCTATTCAATTCAATGCAAAAAGGACAAGTGGTATCATCTGGGTAACTGTGGGCCAGTTAGCCTGACATAGATCCCAGAAAAAATATTAGAAATATTGATATGGGCATCACCCAATAAAGAATTAAGGAAAATAATAGAATTAATGCCAATGAACATGGCTTTGTGGAAAGTAGGTCTTGTGAAACACATCTGATTTTATTTTTGGTTAGATAAGTTTGGCAGATAAAAGTAACTGTGTAGATATATTTAGAGTTTTGCAAAGCTTTTTAGCACCACATGACATGTTAATTAAACAACTAGCACTGTACTACATCAATAAAGCACATGTTAAATGAATTAAGAACTGGCAGATCTCAAAAAGAAGTTGTCAGTGGAGAATTACCATTGCGGGGGGTGTTTCTAGTGGGGTTCAACAGGGAGCAGGACTAGACCTGATGCTATTCAACATTTTCATCAATGATCTGGAAGTAAATATGAAAGAACTGGTGATAAAATTTGCAGGTGACACAAGGATTGGCTGACTGGTAAACAATGATAGGGCCACACAACAACCAAACACACAGAGAGACCAGATTGAAGGCAGAAAGGTACAACTCATCACACTGCACCGCAGATTGGCTCTTTTGCAGAGTGCCACAAGGGACCTAGATCACATGGCTTCCCCAGCCTGCAAATGGGTCCAGGCAGAGCCATCCCAAAGGGGGTACGGAGCCTGGGACAAATCAGCCTGTATTGGCCCCCCTTAACATTTTTTCTACAGGTTAAATCTGGTGTGGGGAGGGAACACCAGTGCTGGGGGGCGAGGGACAATCGACAGTCACAGGGTAGCACTTGTGCTAGGGGCAAGGGGGCCCCCTGTGCTGAGGGGTCCCGAAAAAGGGAGAGGTCTGGGGCAGAAGGGCAATGGATGGGGTCAGCCTGGCGCTAGCGTGTTCCAGCGGAGCTAGGATGCTGGCGGCTGGTGCGGCGGTGGGTGAGCAAGAAAAAGAAATAAAACGCATGCTTCCTGCCGGTGAGTGCAGGCCCGACCCCCGCTGCTGACGCCAGGCCCCCCGCTAACCCTCCTGGGCTGGCCTGGCCCCCCGAACCCTTAATCCTACCCCCCCGGGCTGGTCTAGTGCCCCCCGCACAACACATGCACACTGAAGCGCAGAGCCCCCCAAAGCACGGGGCTCAGAGCTGCTGCCCCGATTCGCCATACCCAGGGGACGGCTCTGGGTCCAGGAAATCCCATATAACTTAAAATGATGGCTTGTAATTTTAACACAGTTTCCAATATGCCACATATACAGAATTGGCAAGACCAATTCAGGGATATTGCATCCAGTTCTTTTGTTCCACATTTTATAAAGGATGTTGATCAATTGAAGAGGTTGCAGAGGGCAGCCATAAAAATTATTCAAAAGTGCAAAAATAGCTTTACAGAGACACTTTAGGAGCTCAATCTGTTTAGCTTATCAAAAAGAAGATCAAGAGGTGACTTGATTATACTGTCTAAGTATCGTCGCAGAAAGAAAATACCAGGTACTAAAGGGCTCTTTAACCTAGTGGAGAAATGCAGAACAAGAACCAGTGACTGTAAATTAAAGCTGGGCAAATTTAAGTTGGAAATAAGGCACCGTTTTTAAGAGAGGGTGATTAACCATTGGCACAAACAACCAAGGAAAGAGGTGGATTCTCCATCTCTTGATGTCATTAAATCAAGACTGGATGCTTTTCTGGGAGATAGGATTTAGTCAAACTCAAGTCATTCGTCTCAATACCAGGATGACTGAGTGAAATTCAATGGCCTGTGATATTCAGAAAGTCAGACTAGTTGATCCGTTTTGGCCTTCAACTCTATGAAAATCATTTCTTCAAAAGCTGAACAATGATTACATGACAAAAAAAGAACTTGTAAAACTGTGAATAACAGCACCATCTGGTGACTCCTGCCATAACAATCCTGCAATATTAATCCCAGGATGCACCTCTTTGGATAAAGAGAACATAGAAATTTGCTCTGACTTTTATAGAGGAGTATATCAACCAGGCTACCCTTAAATCCCCAACACTCAGGGAACTGGGAGGAGCATGTAGAGCAGAGGTGGCAAACTACGGCCCACGAGCCACATCCAAATCAAATGTTGTGAGGCTCACAATAAAGTCGTGAGAGTTGGTTATTGAGTGGGGGGAAGCTTTGGATTGACTAGGCTGTCTCTTAGTTCTTGTCTAATGAGGCACCAACCACTGCTTTAAAGCGCAGGACAGCCAACCCCAAGTGCTCAAACATCATGAATCAGAACGCTTCCCCCCCAGATGATGACATTTTATAACATAATAAATTATGGGATCTTATGATTTGCCTTGTGGGCTTTGCTCCTTTCAGGGTCATGTTTTTGAGTTTTTTTCTGAAACCAGGAGGGCTAAAAACTTATTTTTTAAATGAGTGCTATGCTATGATCCTGCAAAATCACATGACTCCAGGATCTGGGGCTTTAAGAAAAACAGCAAATATTGTGAGATTTGTGATAAATAATGAGAGTTGGCAACACTGAGTAATCCCCGGGCTCAACAGACCTGGCAACACTAACAACAACTTGTTTCCCTCCAGTCAATTTCTTCTGGAAGGAAGCTCCAGCTCTTTACTGACTGTATCTACAGTAGATGCTTCCCCAATCACAGAAAATCAGCTGCCTCTGGGGTAAAATGTGGCAGCTGTTTAATGACACAAAGAGTAGGTCAGGACAGCAGAGATCAAGTGAAAACCCAAATGGACCTGCCGGGGGGATTCCAGGAGACAGTGTATAGCTGCCTGAGGTGGGATTTGACATGGACACCAGATTAAACGCTGCTATTGATGTGCAATACATTGCCCGCTCTTTAATTTCCACAAGGGAGCAGCATTTTTTACATATTACACAAAAGGTGTCACTTTCAGCAGCCCCTGGCACTTGAGGGTCAGACAGGGAGGGAGGTGTATCCTCCTGAGTGACCCACACCACACCCTGCAGACCATGACCTACAGCACCCCTGTGCCCAGCTCCCGGCAGTGTATGAGAGCCTGGCCTGGCTGCACTGGCTCCTCAGTCCATGCTGCTGTGTCTGAGACAGCAGGAGGGAAAGGCCCAATAACAGCGACAGAAAAATAATGAAACCTCCCCCCTGACATAGCTGCCTTTCCTCTGGAGCCTGGGGGGGCCTTCAGTCTCCTGCCAAGACTGTAAAGGTTCCCACCGCCAGCAGGGGTGAGCGAAGGCAGCGAGAGATCCAGTGACTGCACACAAATGATAATGGGCTTCATCACACTTGCGACAGAAACCACCGAGAAACACAGGCGTGCTGTGGGGAGTGGTGCTGGTTACTCAGGAGGGGAAACTTTTCTCTCTGTGTCAATAGGCAGAGTGTGGGATGGGGCAATGGATTAACTGTAGAGGAACAGACTATTGTTCCATCTAGCCCTGCATCAGGCTTCTTGCAGAGATTGGTGTTAGATGCCTCAAATAAATATTAATTTAATAATAATAATATATCTCCATATCTAGCTACCTGTCCCACTTTGAGGTTGGGGGAAAGGAGGGACGGTTCTTTCTGGCCCCTATAGAGATCATTTATCCCCTAATGCCTGCGGGTTTTTTACCTTTCTCTTTATTATGCTGCCCTTTTTATATCCAGCAATGGCACCAGACTTGGTTGATTCCCTGCAGCAGGCAGTTCCACAGCTTGAGTTTACAAGCCTTTCATTTTACTGATTCTAAATTTACCAGCCACTATCTTACTCGAGATCCTTTTTGTTTTTGTAAGATGGGAAAAAGGAAAGAAGCAGGGAGGACAGACCCCAAAGAGAGCAATAAACTCCCTTCTTGTTTTATACATTTACTTTTTCTTTGCAATGCAGCCAAATAAACAGAATTCAAAACCCACCCATGCAGCCGGAGATGACACAGGCCTTGAGGACAAGAACACAAACAAGAATGACCCAGGGGCTCAGCCAGCGGCAGAGTTTCCTCTCTTCTGTGGGGCCTGAAATACATAAGGTAAGAGCAGGAATCACACACCCTTCCCAAAGATAAAATTGCAGGAGAGCCCCTGTTTTCCTGATTCCAACACAGTGTCCTGAGACAGATGTGAGGAATTTTCCGAGAATTACACCTGGACCCAGAAGCCTGCAATTAAAAGTGGCTCAGTTACAGGAGCTAGGGTTAGTGCAGGGTCCCCCAACTCTTCTCTTTCTTTTTTTTCTCTCTACCCACAAGACTTGTCTCTCCTCTTCTTTCCCCTTTATTCCTTCTCTCGTCCATTGCTTGGTCCCCCACACCTCCTTTTCTCCCCATAACCTCTCCCCATATATATCTCCTTCTATCTCCCCAGCCACTCCTCCTTTCTCTCATTGCATTCTCTTCCTCCACCTCTGCCCACCTCTCCCTGTTTATCCCATCTTTCTACCTCCATCTTCTCTACTTCCCTTTTGTTTATCCTCTGTACTCCCTTCTCTCTCCTCTCCCCATCCACCTTTCCTTACTGTTTAGGGATCTGTCTACACTTTGAGCTAGGGGTGTGATTCCCAGCTTTAGGATACATACCTGTGTTAGCTTTGATCAAACTAGTGTGCTAGAAGTAGACTGTAGCCATGGTGGCATGTGCAGCAGGAGGGCCTGATGACATACCTAGCATATCTAATGAACACACACTTATGGCAGCTACCCCCACTTGCTGCTTGCACTGCTCCAGGTAATCTATTTTTAGGACACTAGCTCAAACAAAGCTAGTGTGGATATGTCTCCTTGAGCTAAGACTCACACCCCTAGCTCAAAGTGTAGATATTCCCTCCTATGTGTATGTCTACATTGCAAATGGAGATGTGATTGCAGCGTGCGGAAGGCATACCTGTGCTAGCTTTAATCTAGCTGGGGCAGGTAACAGTGGTAGCGAGGACTGGGTGGCGTAGGCTTCAGCACAGGCTAGCCGTCCCAGTACAAGCCCACTGGGGACCCTGGGTGGGTACTTGCACTGCTAGCCTCTGCTGGGGTCCATGCTGCTGCATCTCTGCTGCAATTGTCCACACAGGCATATCTACATGCCCTACAATCACCCCTTCATTTGCGGTGTATATGTAACATATGTCTCTCTCTTCCTGGACTGTTACTCACAGGTCAGTGCTCTAAGTTGCCCAAAGGAATGAAAGTCCAGCTCAGCCTGTTATATAGAATTGTTTATAAAAGTCAGTCAAAGTTGGAGACAAATATAAGTGGTAAAAATTGGGTTGTTTACAGTGAAAAAATCATGACCAGTCTTCAAAGCATCTAGTAAGGTCGGAGGTTGGCATTGTAATGAGCAGTAAGAGTGTAGAAATGGGAGGAAATGTTTATGGTTGAAATCATCCAAATGTGTTTCAACTGGTTCATTTAATGGGGTCAGGTTGACACCCCTTCTTGGACATTGTTTCTGTGCGATCATTGAAATGGACAGAAGGTGATTGCTTTTCTCTCATAATTTCATTATCCCTTCCCCAATCCTTTGGGCCATTCTCCAGCCCTGTTACTTCCTGGTTCCATTCTCTTTGTCCCTCTATCTCATCCTTTCCAGCCATTGTTCCCCCAGTTCTGTATGGTCTTTCCCCAGAACTTCTCTCCTCTATCACTCCCTCTCCATTGCCTTACCAAATCCTTATTTCAATCCATCCCGCCCTACAAAGTGAGATGAAATCCCCATTCTCACCTGCAGTTCCTGGGCTGGATTTCCCCGTTGGGCCCATGGCCTCTCCTAGAACCTCACTGTCCCCACCAGTGACTCCAGGGAATACACGCAGCCACCAGCATAGGGGACCGTTCTACTGAAGAACAAATTGTATTCTGAGCTGGTCAAACACAAATGAGGAGCCTTAATGATGTCTGATGAGATGGCAAGGCTGAGAGCCAGAGCCTGGAGATAAATACCACACAGAAGGTAGTGGAGGGAAGGGGAAGTTTTCAACCGGTCTTGTGATGGCTCATTTCAGACCAGAAGTAGATAATTATGAGACATAAAAGCAACTCCACCCTAGTCCCCTTCCCCCCCCCAAATATATACATAAAAAAGTGAAGAAAATGAGGATGGAAAAGAGGAACTATCCCCCATTCCTGAAATAGTTTATTTCGAAAATATTCATGCAGTTTTGCAACATGTAACATTGTAACATTAACCTTTTATCTTCTAGGTTTGCCCTGTGTCTGTGGGGTGGGAAGGGGAATCTTTAGCCTGTCAGATCTCACACGTTACGGATTAAGCCAGTTTAAAGCCAACACAGGCCTAATCTTTGCTATAAGGGAGGTTCCCCAGATTTAAGATGATTAAGCCAGTTTGATACTGCCTGTTTTTCTAGGGTTTGTCCCCTATCCAGTACTCAGACAAAACCAGATGTGGCTTTGTCGGGAATCAGACACACAAGGTCGTGCCGGCAGGGATGAGGCAGCATGCTCTTAAAAATGGAGCTCCCCTGTGAGGTGAGACCTCGCTTTCACTGTGAAGGGGAAGGCGTATGCTGTTCCTGGACGTACTGGCATGTGTTCTGTGAATGTGTGACAGGCCACCCTACTCTGCCATCGTACATTTTTTGTCTTTCATTATCAGCTTTCTTTAATCCTTTTACATCATGTTCATTTTTAACATCTTTTTCTACAAAATTAGGCAGTCTAGTTTTTAGTTTTCTCTTAAACAGAATGTCTGCGTGAGACAATTAGGGTGACCAGATAGCAAGGGTGAAAAATCGGGACGAGGGTGGGGTTGGGGGGGATAATAGGCACCTATATAAGGAAAAGCCCCAAATATTGGGACTGTCCCTATAAAATTGGGACATCTGGTCACCCTAGAGACAATCCATGTTTCAAGGGTGCTGCCTATAGTTAAGCAAGCCTAAGTCAGGATTTGAATTAGATTCGTTTGTTTTTTTTAGTAGCTTCTCTATAATTTTTACACCATTCTCCACTAGATCATTTGGCTGTGGGTATCTAGGACTTGCTGTAATATGCCAGAACCCGTAATATCTCACAAATTTTTTTGAATTCATATCCTGCAAATTGTGGACCATTGTCTGACATTACCATTGAAGGAATATCATACCTAACAAATATTGATTTATGCGTGTTATTACATGCTTTGCTATGGTGTTGTCCAGTAAAGTAATCTCTGGAAAGCATGAGTAATAGTTTAAAATCACAACATAATCTTTACCTGCATATCTGAATAAATCAATACCAACTTTATACCAAGCCTCTAAAGCTTCCTGAGGTACCAGCATAGGTTCTTTCACAGGCTTAGGCTGTAACTTTTGATGTTTCACATTTCTTAACTGCTTTTTTCACCCGTTTGAGGCCAACACAGCTCTGGCCCTTCTTTTGTATTTTTTATTTCCTAAATGTCCTTCATGAATTCTAATAAGCTTGTCAGGCTGTAATATTTTGGGAACAGTTATTCAGTTGCTTCTAAACAAAATACCATCAATCACTGAAAGTTCTTCTTTGAAGTGAAAATATGGACTAGGTATATGGTGTCCAGGCCAACCTACTGTTATAGCTTTTATCACTCTTGCCAAGGTCTCATCATGTACTTTGGCTGCTGCAAACACAGTCCACATTTTGTCAGAGACAGGGTAGTTTTTCTTTATAACAGGGGTGGCCAACCTGTGGCTCCGGAGCTGCATGCGGCTCTTCAGAAGTTAATATGTGGTGCCTTGCATAGGCACCGACTCCGGGGCTGGAGTTACAGGTGCCAACTTCCCAATGTGCTGTGGGGGTGGGGTGCTCACTGCTCAACCCTGACTCTGCCACAGGGCCTGCCCCTACTTCACCCCTTCCCCCAAAATCCCCACTCCTTCCTGCCCCCTTCCATGAGCCTGCCATGCCCTCGCTCCTCCCCCTCCCCCCAGAGCCTCCTGCATGCCGCAGGAGGCATGGGGAAAGAGGGGGAGGTGCTGATCAGCAGGGCTGCTGGCAGGCAGTGGGGAGCTGATGGAGGGTGCTGACGTATTACTGTGGCTCTTTGACAATGTACACAGGTAAATTCTGGCTCCTTCTCGGGGCAGGTTGGCCATCCCTGGTTTATGAGGTTCACATGCATATATCAGATTCAGAGTCATTTCCTGCTACAGTATTGTCAAAAGCTCTAGACCAGTGGTTCCCAAACTTTAACAGCCCGCGAACTCCTTTCACTAAATTGTGAAATCTCGTGAATCCCCTCCTAAAAATGAATATTTCCAGGGATTTAAGTTTAAATTTCCTCCACACTCTGCGGGGCTCCTGCTGCTGGACCCTGTTGACTGCCCTGGTCAACTGAGCTCCACTGAGCTCGGGCTGCAGGTCCCGCTGACCGCCAGGGCTTGGGCTGCCAGCCCTGTGCGGAGTGCTGGGGTTTGGGCAGCTGGCTCCCCCACTGACGGGGGCAGGGCTCGGGCTGCCAGCCTCAACTGCCCAGCTTCGCTCTCCCTGGGGCTCGGGCTGTCTGCCCTGCCACCGGGTCCCACCTGCTGCCTCCAGTGCCCGGGGTCCCATGGCCCGCCATGAGTGACATTTTTCTGGCGAACCCCCTGTAACGTTCTGCGAACCCCCAGGGGTTTGCGAACCCCAGTTTGGGCACCACTGCTATAGACAGAGTATCCACTAAATCCCATCCTGCTTTATATTCTATTTGCAATTCAGATAACTGCAGTTGAGAAAAGCAGTCTCTGTACTCTGGGAGGAGTGTCAGCCAGTCCCTTCATCGAAGGGGAGTTGTCAAAATCCTACGGATGCATCCAATGTGGAGAAACATTTAGTGCCAACCATTTCTCCAAATATGTGTTCCCTAGTGGGCATGGGAAAAAGTGTTCTTTTAATATACTTGTTAATTTTTTTCGGGTTCGTTTTTTTTTCTACAATTACTAATGAACGAACCCATTCTGTGTCTCCTTTACTGACTTGATTACCTCTGGTGCCATTAATCTATTTAGCTCCTCTTTTGAGTTTTTTTTTCAGAGCTAGAAGAACATTCCTAGGGGAATGTATGATGGAACAACTAGGCTCTGTCAGTTCAGTTTGATATTCTGCTGGCAGTTTTCCAATGCCCTTAAAGACATCCTAAAACTGCTCCCCAATACCTGAGTCCCCTTGCCCCTCTAATGAGTATATTTTCTCTGAACAAACCCTAGTGTTGGGCTTGTTTTTAAGGCCAGTATAGGTACATTTTTGGCACAATTACAAAATTTATTATTTTTCAATCTTATTTTTAACGTTCCCTCTAATTCACATGTGCCCACAAGTAGAAATGAGCTCTCCACTGTAAGGCCTTCACTTTACCTGTCTATTAGCAATGTACCCAGTCTTTTTTTAGACCCTTAAAATATATTCCATTACCACATTTGCTTGAGCACCAGTGTCTTGTTTAAAAGTCAAAAAAGTTCCGTTCATTGCCAAGGTAACAGCCCGATTATTTGGTGCAGCTGCTTCATTCAAAGCTTTTCTTCTGTGCTGCTAGCTCTGTTCTCCTCATGTTACATAGCGTGTGTACTTTGGTTCTTTTGGTGCATCTGCTATTGCAAATTGCACACTCTTTCAAAATTATTGAATTTCGTGCACTTGTTGCAATGTTGTCCAAATGCAATTCATTGCTGAAATTTCCTTCCACGCCTTGTGTAATTCTTTATGTTGTCCTCAACAAATTCCTTTTTTGCAAACTCACTTTTTTTTTTTTACAGGCTTTGTTGAACATTTCTGCTTTCCCTTTGCCCTGAGGGTTTGTGATTCTGTCCATCAAAGCAGTATCTTGTTTTCCCTCCAAAAGTGTCAATCTGTTCTGGGTAACCTCTGCTGTCTAGCATCTTCTAAATGCCTAATCCAGGTTCAAATCTGGGTCTTCCATTGTCTTTTTCTAATCTTTGGTTCTCGAATTCCCGTCGTTAGTTGATCTCGGATTAGTGAATCTGTGAGCTGATCATAATTAAATGTTTGGCTCAACAGCTTGAGATCCACCATGAATTCTTCAAACAACAATCCTTCTCTCTGAGCTCTCATGAAATTTATATCGTTCAAAAATTTCATTTGTCTCGGGTGTGCAGTACTCTTCAAACTTCATGCATCTTATAGCATGCTTGTGCTGCCTGACTTAACTGTACATAATTAGAAATATCTAGTGTTTTGACCCCACGATAATTTTTTTAAAAAAATAGCTCCCTTCTGTTTATCTTCTTTTTCAATAAAGCCACTCCTTGCATGTACAGGCTGAATCTGTGTTGAAATCCCTTCCACTTATCTGCTGTATTGCCAGAGAACTTCAGCTCCAGAGGAACTCTCAGCTGCTCCATTTTCCTTACCCCTTTTGTCCTGTACTCTCTTCTCCAGTCACTCTCTGACCACTCCTGTTACCGTGTAGTGTTTGTGGGCGCCGTGTAGGAGACTCAGGACTGTAGGAAGATCAGAATATATCATTTATTATAGATTCAGCTCAGCAACTCAGAGTCTGGTGTTACAGTTTAGAAGGCGGCCTCAGAAGTGCTCACAGCTCCCCCTAATGTATCTATACAGCTAAACTGGGCACAGCCCTAAAGGGGGTAAATCTTCACAGGGATATCTCCAAGGTAAATGCAGGATCCCACAGGAAATGACATTAATGATTGAGTGCAGGGAAGGCCTCCGCTGAGTTAATCCCTGAATATCCCAGGAGGATACTAGGGGACCTGTGCTGATAGATGTACCTCTTTTTTTATTGAAAAAGCAATAACCCCCCACCTGTGGTGCCCATAAGGGGTGCTGCAAGTAGCCTTTCAGAGATTCAGAGATAATAAGGCCAGAAGGGACCATTTGAGCATCTAGTGTCTGACCTCCTGTGTAACTCAGGCCATAGAACCTCACCCTGTTTACTCCTGCATTGAGCCCAGTAACTTGTATCTGACTAGGGCAGGACTTTCCAGATAGTCATCCAGTCTTGATTAGAAGACATCAAGAGCACAACCATTTCCACTGGTAGTTTGTTTCAAAGGTTAGCCAGACCCACTGTTACGAGTGTGCGCCTTATTTCTAGTTAGAATTTGTCTGGCTTCAATTTCCAGCCATTGGTTCTTGTTGTTCCTTTCTCTGCTATGCGAAAGGGCCCCTTTACCTAGGATTTTTTCTGCATGAAGGGCCTTAGACCTTTCTCATTGCTCCCCCATCTAGTGAGCAAACTTTCAGACTGAGTATTTGGAACTGAGGCCCCATCATGGGGTTGAGTGTTTGCGGGAGCTCTTCATGTTTCACCAGAGCATGCCCACAGCTGCCAAAGTTCACATAGCGCTTTGAGATCTGCTGGTGCAAAGCACGATATGAAAACTAGGTATTATTATGATCTCATATGAGCTAAGTGAAGTTTTTCTAGAGCATTCCGAGAGCATTCCGTGCTCCCCAGAGAATGTTTTATAGTTCTAGATCCTATTTTCTCCTATGTCGACGCAGTGAGTGGAGGTGGGGTTGGTGGTGCACTAGCAGGTGGTATAAGGTGAGTGGACAGGAGTGTGGGGAAGAAGAGAATGGAAACGCTTGAGGAGCTAGTGGTAGAGAAGACACTCTAGCATAGTCAGCAGCCCCTTCCGCTGACTGCAGCGCAGGATTTTGGGAGACCCTGTGGTAATGTTAGGCAGCCCAGGCTGTGTCAGTCAGTCAGTCTGAGAATCAGGGAGAACCACAGTAGGAGGGCCTGTCTGTGTCCAACTGCCTCACTAAAGAATCCTTTATATATATGTAACCCCTTGGGGTTCAGAGAGCATGGGCTCTTTAAATATTTTTCCTATTGGGGAGGGGGAGCAGTGAGAGAGAGGAGGGAAACTTGGGGGTGTGGCTCTGGAGCCAGGGGAGAGAGGGACTGCAGCTGGAAGGCCTGGAAAAAAGTGAAGGAGAGAGAACCTGCCTGAAGCCTGAGAGGGACAGGGTGGCTGATCCGGGGACACCCCAGGACAGGAGCCAGGAGGAGCACTGTGCCAGGGAGGAATCACCCGAGAAGGACAGACCGTAGCTGGATCCAGTATCACTGCTGCCCAGAGCTGCATGGGGCTGTGAGTACTGGGGCTTGTGACTCTGCACTGGGAATAAGGAGGGAGGCTGTAGCTCAGATGTCCAGTGGGGAGGTGGTTGCTCTGTGTGGCTTTGCAGAGAGCGGCAGAAGAGGGCACCAGAGGGGTTTGTTGGGGAAAGTTCACTGGCGCCGAAGACAACCAGGAGCACCCAAGACTTAGCACTGGACTGGAACTTTCCTCAGGACCCCTGAACTCTGTATGCAGACACATTGCTCAGTGTCTGCCCTTTCAGATTGTGCTACCACTGAGCCTGTGGGGCCTTGGTTTGGATGCAGCCCTGTTCTACTGCTCCCTCTACATTTCCCCTTGTTTTTTTTCTCCTCTCATCCCTCTGTAAATAAGTATCTCCCTGTGTTATATCCATAGTACTTTTCCTGTGGGTGGGTGTGTTCACTCTGGGGGGCTTGGAACAGGTGCCCCTGGGGTGGAAGGAATTTTTCCTGGTGGATTCCTGTGCGCGCCATCTCTTGGCCAGAGCTGCCTGCAGAGCAGACTCCATCTTGGCCACGAGGGCGCTAAAGTTACAGATACAATACAGCTGAGTCCTGTCTCTTTCCTACAGCGAGGGCACCACAGGTATCAGGGAAGTGTCAGAGGAAGGAGGGGAATGGGTCACACACTGAGCGGGACAAGGAGGAGAGCACTCACTGAGGGGCTAGCTGCTCCAGGTCCCAGTAAGAAGCGCTGGAGGAACATAGGAGCATGGAGACTAAGGGAGGGGACTAGCAGTAGCTATACTCCTTGCCGGAGAGAGGTTAATGTGCTGGAGTGCTAACACCAGATGAAGGTCCCTTGAGGGGTGTGACGTTATCTGATTAAAATATGACCATGTAGATCCACTGTGATATAATTGCAACAAAACTTATACAAAGTATGTCAAGTAATGTGTCTATGGAAAAGTTATTGTTTGCTGAATATGATTATCCTATGTGTATGCATGTATCATGTTTGTATCTGAAGTTATGAATATTGACCATGTGTCTGTATTTCAAATGTGTTTGCTCATGTAGGTAACACCTACCAGGTATTTAGCCAGTACATTGTAAAGGGACTATTCAAGTTGAATGGTCCATCATAGAATCATAGAATATAAGGATTGGAAGGGACCCCAGAAGGTCATCTAGTCCAACCCCTGCTCGAAGTAGGACCAATTCCCAGTTAAATCATCCCAGCCAGGGCTTTGTCAAGCCTGACCTTAAAAACCTCTAAGGAAGGAGATTCCACCACCTCCCTAGGTAACGCATTCCAGTGTTTCACCACCCTCTTAGTGAAAAAGTTTTTCCGAATATCCAATCTAAACCTCCCCCACTGCAGCTTGATACCATTACTCCTCGTTCTGTCATCTGCTACCATTGAGAACAGTCTAGAGCCATCCTCTTTGGAACCCCCTTTCAGGTAGTTGAAAGCAGCTATCAAATCCCCCCTCATTCTTCTCTTCTGCAGGCTAAACAATCCCAGCTCCCTCAGCCTCTCCTCATAACTCATGTGTTCCAGACCCCTAATCATTTTTGTTGCCCTTCGCTGGACTCTCTCCAATTTATCCACATCCTTCTTGAAGTGTGGGGCCCAAAACTGGACACAGTACTCCAGATGAGGCCTCACCAATGTCGAATAGAGGGGAACGATCACGTCCCTCGATCTGCTCGCTATGCCCCTACTTATACATCCCAAAATGCCATTGGCCTTCTTGGCAACAAGGGCACACTGCTGACTCATATCCAGCTTCTCGTCCACTGTCACCCCTAGGTCCTTTTCCGCAGAACTGCTGCCTAGCCATTCGGTCCCTAGTCTGTAGCTGTGCATTGGGTTCTTCCGTCCTAAGTGCAGGACCCTGCACTTATTCTTATTGAACCTCATCAGATTTCTTTTGGCCCAATCCTCCAATTTGTCTAGGTCCTTCTGTATCCTATCCCTCCCCTCCAGCGTATCTACCACTCCTCCCAGTTTAGTATCATCCGCAAATTTGCTGAGAGTGCAATCCACACCATCCTCCAGATCATTTATGAAGATATTGAACAAAACCGGCCCCAGGACCGACCCTTGGGGCACTCCACTTGATACCGGCTGCCAAGGAACACTTAACTCACAATGGGCCATGGAAGACGCCTATCTATACGTAATGGGCTTCCTGAGGACATTCTAACTAGAGTACGGGTAATGGCCTCTGCTTTGACTCAGCGGAGCATGCCAGGACATGTGATGAGACCACGTGACACTAAACTCCATCTTGTTACCTGTATTTTTCCACTGTGCAGAGGAACAATGGGTTTCCCTTCACATGGCAGAAGCTATAAAAGACCCTGAAAGCATTTTTTCCTGCTCAAACCTCTGGAAAGTGTGGGCCCCTTACTGAATGAGGGAGGCAACCTAGTGACAGAGGATGTGGAAAAAGCTAATTTACTCAATGCTTTTTTTGCCTCTGTCTTCACGAACAAGGTCAGCTCCCAGACTGCTGCGCTGGGCATCACAGCATGGGAAGTAGATGGCCAGCCCTCTGTGGAGAAAGAGGTGGTTAGGGACTATTTAGAAAAGCTGGACGTGCACAAGTCCATGGGGCCGGACGAGTTGCATCCGAGAGTGCTAAAGGAATTGGCGGCTGTGATTGCAGAGCCATTGGCCATTATCTTTGAAAACTCGTGGCGAACGGGGGAAGTCCCAGATGACTGGAAAAAGGCTAATGTAGTGCCAATCTTTAAGAAAGGGAAGAAGGAGGATCCTGGGAACTACAGGCCAGTCAGCCTCACCTCAGTCCCTGGAAAAATCATGGAGCAGGTCCTCAAGGAATCAATTCTGAAGCACTTAGACGAGAGGAAAGTGATCGGGAACAGTCAGCATGGATTCACCAAGGGAAGGTCATGCCTGACTAATCTAATCACCTTCTATGATGAGATTACTGGTTCTGTGGATGAAGGGAAAGCAGTGGATGTATTGTTTCTTGACTTTAGCAAAGCTTTTGACATGGTCTCCCACAGTATTCTTGTCAGCAAGTTAAAGAAGTATGGGCTGGATGAATGCACTATAAGGTGGGTAGAAAGTTGGCTAGATTGTCGGGCTCAACGGGTAGTGATCAATGGCTCCATGTCTAGTTGGCAGCCAGTGTCAAGTGGAGTGCCCCAGGGGTCAGTCCTGGGGCCGGTTTTGTTCAATATCTTCATAAATGATCTGGAGGATGGTGTGGATTGCACTCTCAGCAAATTTGCAGATGATACTAAACTAGGAGGAGTGGTAGATACTCTGGAGGGCAGGGATAGGATACAGAGGGACCTAGACAAATTGGAGGATTGGGCCAAAAGAAATCTGATGAGGTTCAATAAGGATAAGTGCAGGGTCCTGCACTTAGGACGGAAGAACCCAAT